AGGTAATGCATTCCAGTGTTTCACCACCCTCCTAGTGAAAAAGTTTTTCCTAATATCCAACCTAAACCTTCTCCACTGCAACTTGAGACCATTACTCCTTGTTCTGTCATCTGCTACCACTGAGAACAGTCTAGATCCTTCCTCTTTGGAACCCCTTTTCAGGTAGTTGAAAGCTGCTATCAAATCCCCCCTCATTCTTCTCTTCTGCAGACTAAACAATCCCAGTTCCCTCACTCTCTTCTCATAACTCATGTGTTCCAGTCCCCTAATCATTTTTGTTGCCCTCTGCTGGATGTTTTCCATTTTTTCCACATCCTTCTTTTATTGTGGGCCCAAAACTGGACACAGTACTCCAGATGAGGCCTCACCAATGTTGAATAGAGGGGAACGATCACGTCCCTCGATCTACTGGCAATGCCCCTACATATACATCCCAAAATGCCATTGGCCTTCTTGGCAACAAGGGCACACTGTTGACTCATATCCAGCTTCTCGTCCACTGTAACCCCTGGGTCCTTTTCTGCAGAACTGCTGCCGAGCCATTTGGTCCCTAGTCTGTAGCGGTGCATGGGATTCTTCCATCCTAAGTGCAGGACTCTGCACTTGTCCTTGTTGAACCTCATCAGATTTATTTTGGCCCAATCCTCTAATTTGTCTAGGTCCCTCTGTATCTTATTCCTACCCTCCAGCGTATCTACCTCTCCTCCCAGTTTAGTGTCATCTGCAAACTTCCTGAGGGTGCAATCCACACCATCCTCTAGATCATTTATGAAGATATTGAACAAAACCGGCCCAAGGACTGACCTTTGGGGCGCTCCACTTGATACTGGCTGCCAAGTAGACATGGAGCCATTGATCACTACCCGTTGAGCCTGACAATCTAGCCAGCTTTCTATCCACCTTATAGTGCATCCATCCAGCCCATACTTCTTTAAGTTGCTGGCAAGAATACTGTGGGAGACCGTGTCAAAAGCTTTCCTAAAGTCAAGGAACAATACATCCACCGCTTTCCCCTCATCCACAGAGCCAGTTATCTCGTCATAGAAGGCAATTAGATTAGTCAGGCATGACTTGCCCTTGGTGAATCCATGCTGACTGTTCCTGATCACTTTTCTCTCCTCTAAGTGCTTCAGAATTGATTCCTTGAGGACCTGTTCCATGATTTTTCCAGGGACTGAGGTGAGGCTGACAGGCCTGTAGTTCCCAGGATCCTCCTCCTTCCCTTTTTTAAAGATGGGCACTACATTAGCCTTTTTCCAGTCGTTCGGGACTTCCCCCCGCTCGCCATGAGTTTTCAAAGATAATGGCCAATGGCTCTGCAATCACATCCACCAACTCCTTTAGCACTCTCGGATGCAGCGCATCCGGCCCCATGGACTTGTGCTCGTCCAGTTTTTCTAAATAGTCCCGAACCACTTCTTTCTCCACAGAGGGCTGGTCACCTCCTCCCCATGCTGTGCTGCCCAGTGCAGTAGTCTGGGAGCTGACCTTGTTCCTGAAATCACAGAGGCAAAAAAAGCATTGAGTACATTAGCTTTTTCCACATCCTCTGTCACTAGGTTGCCGTCTCCATTCAGTAAGGGGCCCACACTTTCCTTGACTTTCTTCTTGTTGCTAACATACCTGAAGAAACCCTTCTTGTTACTCTTAACATCTCTTGCTAGCTTCAACTCCAAGTGTGATTTGGCCTTCCTGATTTCACTCCTGCATCCCCGAGCAATATTTTTATACTCTTCCCTGGTCATTTGTCCCATCTTCCACTTCTTGTGAGCTTCTTTTTTGTGTTTAAGATCAACAAGGATTTCACCGTTAAGCCAAGCTGGTTGCCTGCCATATTTACTATTCTTTCTACACATCGGGATGGCTTGTCCCTGTAACCTCAATAAAGATTCTTTAAAATACAGCCAGCTCTCCTGGACTCCTTTCCCCCTCATGTTATTCTCCCAGGGGATCCTGCCCGTCAGTTCCCTGAGGGAGTTAAAGTCTGCCTTTCTGAAGTCCAGGGTCTGTATTCTGCTGCTCTCCTTTCTTCCCTGTGTCAGGATCCTGAACTCAACCATCTCATGGTCACTGCCTCCCAGGTTCCCATCCACTTTAGCTTCCCCTACTAATTCTTCCTGGTTTGTGAGCAGCAGGTCAAGAAGAGCTCTGCCCCTAGTTGGTTCCTCCAGCACTTGCACCAGGAAATTGCCCCCTACCCTTTCCAAAAACTTCTTGGATTGTCTGTGCACCGCTGTATTGCTCTCCCAGCAGATATCAGGGTGATTGAAGTCTCCCATGAGAACCAGGGCCTGCAATCTAGTAACTTCCGTGGGTTGCCGGAAGAAAGCCTCGTCCACCTCATCCCCCTGGCCCGGTGGTCTATAGCAGACTCCCACCACGACATCACCCTTGTTGCTCACACTTCTAAACTTAATCCAGAGACACTCAGGTTTTTCTGCAGTTTCATACTTGAGCTCTGAACAGTCATACTGCTCTCTAACATACAGTGCAACTCCCCCACCTTTTCTGCCCTGCCTGTCCTTCCTGAACAGTTTATATCCATCCATGTCAGTACTCCAGTCATGTGAGTTATCCCACCAAGTCTCTGTTACTTAGTAAAATGGCAATTTGGAAGCCTATCTCAACTTTAAATTCAGGAGGCCAAATTGTGTTCTCACCCAGTGTAACTACATTGAGTCAAAGTTAACCTAATTTTTTTAAAACAACATGAACATGTTTTAATATAGGTTATACAATTTATATAGAGAGTAGGAGGCTTTAGGAGATTAGATTCATCAGTGTGTTGTGCCCCGGAAATAAAGGGTCTACAAAATCACTATAATATCCTGACAAATGGGGAGATGCTATTGGGTGCATAACTGACCTTACGCCACTCCACAGGAACTTTGGCACGGGAGATCTAGTTGGGGTGGTGTTACATACAACTATTCCTGGCTGGTGTAAATGCCCACAGGAAGTATTGCAGCTGGGGAACAAATTACGGCAATCCCTCAGTCTGCTCTAATTTGTGTTGGGGACCTGACTGGCCAACAGAAGGCCCAGCATATGCAAGGTGTGTAACTTTAAGTGCGTGAGTAGTCCTTCTGCACATGGTTAAGTGTTTAACTTGATCAGAATTTTAACTCATGGGAATACGGAGCTATATATTTAGTTGTTTCTCATTGTTCTAACTCTTCAATAAATACTAGGCTTTCCAAGACTTGCAGGTCACACCAGAGTAGTTAATCTTTTCCTTTTGCATTTATACTTAAATGGTGGCCTAGAACTCAAGGATTATATAGTTATTAAAGCCTGTTGCCAACTCTTTTGACAGTGCTAAAGGTTAACTATTAAAGAAATCAACAACCCACAACTGCACCCTTCCCCCTTTAAGGTGCAATGCTAAAAATTATCCTTATAAACCCAAGGTTAGATGAAGAATGGAAAGTTGCACTGGGTTCTGCAATAACCTCTTAGAATATAAAAGGAACTGAGAAAAATGTCACAGAAACAGCTATAATATTGTCCCGCAGTTTTAAATGAATGTATATAGCAGATCTATTTTATTTATTCATATTTGTCCAGTGACAGCTCAACTATATTTGTACTGATTCTATGGTGAAGCAATATTTGTACTGTGATTATGTTTCCAGTACTTCGGGAGACTTATTTATTTGACCCTTTTATGCTTAATGTTATATGTATTTGAAGTGAAGGTCAAGTCAAGGTCCCTGGCTTTCTCTAAATTAAACAATGACCTATTGATAAAGTTAGTTCGCGTTTAAATGTCCTGTTGAAAGAGGGATCACTATTAGCTATTGGTGGAGAGAGTGAAGTGGTGCAAGTGCTTTCTGTTCCAACTCATAATTTAAAGGAATAGCATTGCTCCCTGACCAGGAGAAAAGAGTGGAACACGTTAGTATAAAATATAACTGGTAGTGATTAAAGAGGGTCCTGCAGATTTTGATAGAGGGTATTTGAAGAAAATTCTGCTAGAAAAAACAAAGCTAATGACTGCTGCCATGTGTTGTGATCTTGGTAAAGTGTATTGCAGAGTTAGTTGACCATTAATGGCCCAAAAGGCATCTGATACTAGCACTGGCTTATTCTTACATATCAGTAGTTTGACAGATACTCAGACTGAGAAAACATTTTGATGTCTCTAAAACAAAAATTTGACTTCTAAACAATTTAGTCTTTTTAATTTTACTTCAGACATACTTATTTTAGGAAAATAAGCGTTATGGTACCAAAGAATTTCAGTTTAAGAACATCTTCTGCTAAATTATTTAAATATGCCTCTGATTTTTAAATAGCAAAATCCTAGATTTTACAAATAACCATTTAACAGTAACTAGAGTGACAACAATAACAAAAGCTTTTTGTTATATAATGTATTCAGCAACAAAGTGGGATGAAAGTTAGTCCAAGGTGAATGCTTTCAAAAATCCCATAGCTAAATTTTGGGAGAAGTGAAAGTATCCTGTTTTAAACAAGACTTTTTCTCCACATTTTTCAAAGTACAATTAATGTTCTCAAGTATAGTAGTATTCACAGCCAGAGCAAATCAGCTTGCTCTGTGACATAGTGAACAATAAACAAACAACTTCTGGCCTTTAATAAGGCCCAGCTTGTATTTCCATGTGAGGTGTTTATTTTGGATCAGTTGACATGCTTTCAGAACTCATTCTATTTATTTTGTTGTATATGTATTTATCCACTTTGTTTGCAAACAAAGACCTGATCTGTTTGTCGCTAAAGTCAATGGGAGCTATTCCGCTGAGGTTTTTGATTTTAAAACAGATTTTAGACCTGATTTCAGCTCACTTTAAGTTATATTCTTTTGGATTAAGAGTGCTTCCGTTGACCTTAATGGAGGCTGAGTTAAACCAACGCTGAGTGCCTTGAAAATCCTAACTTCAGTGTGGAATGTACTTTTTGTTGTCTTTCTCCTTCTTTGGATTCATGTAAAACTGTGGTAGAAAAAAATTGTAATTATGTAACTTTCTTTGTCTCAGGTTCAAGAAGAGAACGTTGTGGGTATCGTATCATACGCCGGCATCGTAATTCAGAAGATCAAGTGCATTGCACTGGCAAAGCTAAAAAGAATAGTGAAAATACAATCCGAGTGAAAGAAATCCTCCTTAATGCACTCAGTCCTGAGCAGTTCATTTTAACGTTACTTGAAGCCGAACCGCCTAATGTGTTGCTGGTGAGTCGCCCCAACAAGCCATTTACAGAAGTCTCCATGATGATGTCATTGACAAAACTTGCAGACAAAGAATTGGTTCACATGATTGGTTGGGCCAAGAAAATTCCTGGTAAGAATTTCAAAAACTTTTTTTTTTCCATAGAAATTTTGTACTAGGTGCAAATACCTCTACTATAAATATTAATCCATTGTTTAGGTTCTGAAGTAGAAGTAGTGTGGTAATAAATGTGTAGGTTCAAGGCCTTAAGATTTTACTTTTAAAATGGCAGTGGAAAACTTACAAATTCTGCAACAAAAAAATTCTAAATTCTTTGTACAATATTTTAAAATACTGCAGAATTCTGCATATTTTATTTGTCAAAATCACACAATATAATCACACCAGTTTCAATTATTTTTGGTCATTTATTTCAAAGTACCTATCAGCAAGTATGTCTGTAATAATACAGACAACAAAAAAGATTCAGGAAATGTTTTTTGACAAATAGATTCCATACTAGGCGTATTAATATAGAACTCTGAGGAAAAATTCATTTAAACTACAGTACAGAACCGTAGTTCTCACACTCTTCAGAAGCAGTCAAAGGCTTGGGGGAGTCAGGGGTAATGGAGGAGCTGAGGGAGAGGGAAGTAATTGCTGGGAAGGAGTCTGGGTGTGATCTTGGAGGGTTGCTGGGTATGTGTGGGAAAAGTATGGAACAAGTTTTTTGCGGGGCAGGGAGCGATTGTTAGGGAGCTTCCCTCATGCAGACCCTAGCTGACCCCAGCCTCTCCCATTCTGTCAGGCACATCTGCCCCTGTCCCCATGTATCCTTGCATCTCCTGTCCACGTGTTCGCTCCACCCCCACTCAACCACCCCCCCCATCCCTATGTTGCCCCACATACCCTCTCCTGTCCCCATGTGGCCCTGCATCTCCCATCCCCGTGTGTCCCTGCACCTCCATTCCAATTCAGCCCCTGCCCCAGCCTGTCCTAGCCGACTAGCCCTTATTACCCCCTGTCTTGACTCCCCAGCAGCCCCATGATGTCTGTCTCCCCATAGCCCCTGTCTCCTGACCTGGCCAAACAGGTGCTGTGAAGAAGGTAGGCTCTTTCTCTTCCCTAGCTGGCTAGGAGCTGCTGCTCTGTTCTATCACCATAGTGCCCTCTGGTGGGCAAAGGTGGAACTGCAGCAACTTTCCAGCAGAAGCTTTTTCTGTGCAAAAAATTAAAATATGTGCTGCTCATTAATTATGCATGTGCGCAGTGGCACAGCTTTCGCTCAGGAGTAAAAACTCTTTACTTCCATAATTCGCCAAAAATGTTTTGATTTAGAGAACAACCGTATCATATATGATGTATCTGGCATTTTAAAATTAGTGAACACTTGTTTATTAGACAAGATCAGCAATCACATGTAATGTTAACTAAGTCCTTTTTAGCAAGTGGACTAAAGAGCAGTTTTGTTAGGAACCATAAATTAGCGTTTTAATACGTCAACAGTGATGAATAGACTGACTATCTTTCTCCACTTAACTATTAAATTAAATTTAAAATGTCTACATAATTTAAAAACCGTTAAGGCCAAATTCATCCCTGGAATTCTGATGAACAGCTCCCATTACAGTAATTGAAAACAACATGCATGTATCCAGGCACAGAGTTTGTCCCATGGTTTAACAGTTTACTTTGTTGTTGCTATACAAGAGCATCAGCTTGCTAAGTAGTATGTAATACTGTGCTCAGATTTATCACACATTCTGTTTAGAGAACTCACGGCAAAGTATTAAAGCATAACCTTATTTGTTCTGGCCTAGAAAATCTACAGTTTTATGCCAACCCTGTAGTTATGACCTACTGCTTTTCTCTTTTTTTCCTTCTTACAAAATCAGAATGTAACTGATCACAAATCTCTGTTCAAGAATGGACTAGGAGAAAAATAGGAACACTTTTCCAGTAAGTTGGAAATTGGAATTGTTTAGTCTGCAGAAGAGAAGAATGAGGGGGGATTTGATAGCTGCTTTCAACTACCTGAAAGGGAGTTCCAAAGAGGATGGATCTAGACTGTTCTCAGTGGTACCAGATGACAGAACGAGGAGTAATGGTCTCAAGTTGCAGTGGGGGAGATTTAGGTTGGATATTAGGAAAAACTTTTTCACTAGGAGTGTGGTGAAGCTCTGGAATGCGTTACCTAGGGAGGTGGTGGAATCTCCTTCCTTAGAGGTTTTTAAGGTCAGGCTTGACAAAGCCCTGGCTGGGATGATTTAGTTGGGAATTGCTCTAGCTTTGAGCAGGGGGTTGGACTAGATGACCTCCTGAGGTACCTTCCAACCCTGATATTCTATGAAAGTTGTGAAACAACAGATTTTTTCAGTTCACTGGTATTTCTGAAAAATTGAAGAAAAAATTTATTTTCAAGTTGAACTGAAAACAAAATATTTCAGAGCTTCTAGCAAATTGAAAAGTCAAAAAATTAATTTCAGATTGAATGTTTTTTTTTGACACAATCAAAACATCCTGTTTTCGTGTTACTATTTATAAATGTTTTTGAATTTTTAAAAAAATATTTTACATTCATTTTGAACTAAAAAATGTGAAATCTTTTGTTTAGAAAATGTTGAAACAGAATTTTTCAATTTTTTTGGAATATATTTTAGGGTTTTTTTAACCAAAACAGTTAAGTAGAACTGACACAAATTCATGAAACATTTCACTGTTAAAAAAATATACAATTTTGGTTGAAAAATAATTTTGACTGAAAAATTTCACCCAGATTGACTCATCAATTTAAGTGGCAGATCATTGACAAAGTTGTATGAAGACGCTTGCCTTCTCTTTGGCCACACTGTTTAGCATATACTAAGCCAATGACTAATCCCTCAGTTTCCCGAGAACTAAATTCACCAACAGAATAGTAGCTAAATAAAAGAAACATTTAAACAATAAAGGAAAACCGAGATACAGCATCATAGGGCTCAACCAGGCAAACACTTATCTTCAAGCATAGTGCTTACCACTAAGAGTAGTCCCAGTAAGACTACCGTAGTACTACTAATGGTAGCAAATATTACATCTGGTGGTCAGTGTTTGCAGGATTGAGTTCATGATTGAGAGATGAACTAGATGGTGAGAACTCACGGCAAGTTGAAGAAAGAAGATTAGATTGAGAACTGAGGCTTGTATGTTCTGAAGTTGAATGTCTAAATCATTCATCCTTATTCCTACTAGTATAAAATGTGTGTAAATTCAAGGAAGAGAATGCTAAACAGTGATTCCTATTGTGCATCAGTATGTTTTGTTACTGTTTGGGTTAATTCAGCAGAACTGTACTCCATTGGAATATGTGGTTCTGTTGAAATTAAAGCATTTTACAAAATTAGATTAATTTTGTTTTGAGGACAAGTTCCAGCGTGTTCAGAAATAAACTTATGTTTTGGGGTTTTTTTGTGCATTTTCTTTGTAACTTTTGTATTTAAAGCATTTAAAATAATCTGAAACAAAAAATCAATTTTTTCAGGGAATTATAAAATTTTCAGTTTTCAATCCAGTTTGAACAGAGCCAGATTTTGAAATTTCAAGTCCATCATGAAGCAGAACTTTCATTGCAACTCTGATTACTATATTTTGTTGCAGAGTTTTTGTTTGGTTTGGTTTTTGAATGCTTGTAGTGTCTTTATTTTCAGAGTATTGCAAATCAAATCCCTTTCTTGGTAATATTCCAACTACATGAAAAAACAGTTCTTAAGGCAATTAGAAATCATCATATAGATCCTAGAAGCATTCTTAGAGTATTGTGTATATTGTTTTTACTAATTAGCTTGTATTTTATAGAATAAAAATAGACTGTTAGTTTTAGAACAATGTAGAAAATAGAAGTGACTTAAATTGAATGCATTCCCAATTCTGAGTGCCAAACACTACCTCTTGTGATAGTTAACACAACTTTTACTTGTTTACTGTAATATTGATTTAAAAATAATTATTATAGCTAAGCTTCAGAATGTAGGAGTAGGCCAACTTTTCAAAATTGGGTGCCTAAAGTTAGGTGCCTAAATCCATATTTAGGCTTTAAAGAAGCAGTCTGACTTTCAAAGCTCTGAGCACCCAACAGTTCCCGAGTTGCAGGTCGAGGACCCTAGTCCTCTTCTTAGTCAACCATTCTGGCTTATCCAAATTTTTGAATGTTTTTTATGCTAACTACAAAAATGATGCATAATGGGAAAGATGAAAACAGTCTCTGAGATGAGAAACTAGAAAAATTTATTTTTTTTCTTTGTTATAATTTACTGGTATGTTTCTTACAGGTACATATATTTCTGTAAGAAAAGTCTTAAATTATATTTAAATTACAGAGGTCTTGAACTGTGGCCCAATGAGCAGTAATTGTACTTTCAGTGACTTTTTGAAAATGGTAAATCCTTGCTCCCATGCAGTTGGATAAGGAACCCATTTTCAGTTTCAAGTTATTTTATCACTCAAAACAGAAGTGAAAGTAATTGGTAGGGGCATTATATTTGTTACTTTCCTAGATGGCAAGCAATAGCTGCTTTTCATAAGTATTTTTTTCTTTAATTTGAATGTGTTTTTCAGGGTATTTTTTTGGTCATATTGTTCTACTGTGACTGCAATTTGCCACATTGTTTTTTCTCTATTGCCGAATATACTTTTGGTGTTAGTGGGTGTGATAAGGCTGAAATATTTGTTTGGAGGCATAGAAATCTTCATAATGACTTTTGCTTTTAAAGTTTTTAAATTCTTTTTAGGTTAACTAGTTTAACGGATTAGAGATCAGGAACTGCACTGTCTACTTCTGCTGTATTCTTTTTCATATAGATTCAAAGGTCAAAAGGGACCATTGGCACACCCACGTCTTGAATGCTGCATGCAGATGTGGTCACCCCATCTCAAAAAAGATATATTGGACTTGGAAAAGGTTCAGAAAAGGGCAACAAAAATGATTAGGGTTATGGAATGGCTGCCGTATGAGGAGAGATTAATAAGACTGGGACTTGTCAGCTTGGAAAAGAGACGACTAAGGGGGGATATGATAGAGGTCTATAAAATCATGACTGGTGTGGAGAAAGAAGGGTTATTTACTCCTTCTTAGAACACAAGAACTAGGGGCCACCAAATTCAGGTAATAGGCAGCAGGTTTAAAACAAAAGGAAATATTTTTTGCCAGAAGATGTTGTGAAGGCCAAGACTATAACAGTGTTTAAAAGAGAACTAGATAATTTCATGGAGGATAGGTCCATTAATGGCTCTTAGCCACAATGGGCAGGGATGGTGTCCCTAGCCTCTGTTTGCCAGAAGCTGGGAATGGGCGACGGGATAGATCACTTAATGATTACCTGTTCTGTTCATTCCCTCTGTGGCACCTGGCATTGGCTACTGTCGGATGACAGGATACTGGGCTAGATGGACCTTTGGACTGACCCAGTATGGCCGTTCTTATTGTGATCATCTAATCTGTCCTCCTGTATTACACCGACCATAGAAATACTGTGACTAGAACTCATTCCCACTATATACCATTGAGTGCCATAGCTTAGTAGGATTTTTGAAATAGAGTGACCAGAACCAAACACAATATTCCAGGTGAGAGCGTACCATTTGATTTATATAGTGGCATTAGAACATTTTTATTTTAGGAATGAAATTGTAACATTTAAAATCTCATTTATTATACTGCCAATTTTGTTTTTGTGTATTGGCGGGGGTTTTTTGGTATGCTTTTTTGGCTGTCACTGTACATTGATCAAAAGTTTTCCTTGCACTGTCTGAAGTGACAGGTCCTATTCCTGCATGGTTACAGTTAATTTACATCTCAGCAAAGTGATGCACATTTGCTTAATTTTTATATGGGTCCCAATGATTTTTCTTAGTCTTCTCTGGCTTCAACTGACCTAAATCTTCATTTTGAGAAGACACCTACAAAGAGGTACATAATAGAGGTATACAAAATAGATAAGACTATGTGCGACAATTGGATCTGGATTCTGTGACACTGGCAGTAATGCTATACTGGCTGCAAATTAAAAACTGATGTTTTTATTAAATTAAATATGAAAAAATTATATAATCCATACAGTAGCCAGTGTTGTTTATTTTAATATTATTTGATTTGTTGTTGCCACAACATAAGTTTTCATTATTTAAAATGTATATTTCTAGACCTTATGACATAATTTTGTCTTCCTGTGTCTACAGGCTGCCTAAAACAATAGCTCTGAAAAGCATGAGCTGCCCCATTTATCACAATGGAATGTTAACACTGAAGTCTACAGACAACAATGTAAATGCTAGCACTGTTAACTATTTCACTGCAGATCACTTTAACAAGAACAGACAGCTACTGTGCTTTATGCACAATCCCATACTGCCTCCCATGCCAGAACAGATTCCAAAAGCCCCAACTGCCCATCCCATAGCAACCAAAACCTCCAGCTTCACCCTGACAACTTCTACAAAGCAGGCATTTTCAATTCAAAAATATATCTCACTTATTGAAAACAAATGCTCTAGAGCACAACCTGCAGCAAGCAGTGAATTTCACAGCAAATTCCATGGCAGAAGAATCATAGAGAACAGGGGACCCTGGGTCTAGAGAAGGTAAATTGGAAACTCCTATTTTTCCTTTCCCTTTCTATAAGAAGGGGCTATTGAATGGCAATACATTTAAAACGTACGCAGAAGGAATACTTTTTACAAAATGTATAGGAACCTGTGGAACTCATTACCACTATACATCAGGTCCAATAGTTGAATAGATTAAAAAAGGATTTGGGCATTTTTATGAATAATGAGAACATCCACAGATATATTAGGCAGGATAACAAGAACCTGAGTGGCTATAAAATCTCAGGATATAAAAATCTAATCTGATTGAAAGGGGTTAGGAACAAACTGCATCTATGGTCAGGTTACTTCATGATTTTCCACTATGGGGTTTTAGAGGAATTATGGGTGTTTGGAATTCAGGCACCTTGTTTAGTTGTCTAACTACAGATACCCAGGTTTGACAAGGCTTAAGCTGGGTTGTGAACACGGGTGCACTGAGATTGGACCACTGGTCTGGTCCCTTGTTCTGTTTGTACCTCCTTGATTTTTGAGCCTCATTACATTTTACCCTTTTTTTCTTCCATTTTTAATTTTCTTTGTGTATGTTCTCACCCGTTTATCTCTGTTGTTGTTGTTTCTCTTAATCATCCTCTGTTCCCCAGCAGCATCCTACTAGGAGCCGTAGCGGAGGATCAGCTCCCCAGTAGGAGCAGTAGAATGGAATTTAATGAGTTACACTCTGCTACTGCTTCTTCTGTTCCTTTGTTGCTGCTAATAGAAATTTACCTTGCACAGAGAGGTGTGTAGACCTAGAGCTGGCTGTGCATACAGAGGAATTTCATCCTATATGTAAAAGCAGTAGCACAGGTATGATTCTTCATGATTTTAAAACTGCTTTGTGGTAAGTTTTCTCCACAACATATAACTTGTGACTATTTTCTTCTAGTGTTTGAGATATTTTCTGTGCTCTCTTTTTAACCTTTTCTTTTTTACAAATTAATGAAACAAATAGGTGGACATGTCTGACGTTACTATTTCATTGTTCTAGGCTTCATAGAGCTCAGTCTGTATGACCAAGTGAGGCTCTTGGAGTGTTGTTGGATGGAAGTTTTAATGGTGGGTCTGATGTGGAGGTCGATTGATTATCCTGGCAAACTAATTTTTGCACCGGATCTTGTATTAGAGAGGTGAGGAAAAATATAAATTAGTCTCTTTTGATGTATGTTTAATTTCAGCATATGGTAAAAGGGAGCATATAGCCATTAGGGGGATACTATTAACATTTCACATTTGAAAGTACAAGTAAATGATACTGTAAAAAATAATGTCGTGAGGTTCCTAATCTCTCCTGTAGATCAAGAACTCTAGACAAAAATAATAATGTCAGGTGGATCAAACTTGTGAGTTCCTTAATAATTTCTGTCATAAATGATTATGTTCAACATACCAGTATTTGCTGATTTCTGTAGTGTCTGTCCAGAGCTCTAGACACTTACCAAATTTTTAAAAAACACAATTTAAAATTTTAGTTTTTATAGCTACTAGATTTCCCCAAGAAAGACTAGACATGTTACCAAAACATATCTGATCCCCACCTAAATATACTTCTATAACATCTTTTCCATTTGCAGTATCATTACAGTACACTAATTTTTCTAAATATGGAAAAAATATCATCAGGCTTTGCAATGTTAGTGAAGTAAGGAATAGCTGTATGTCTGTGTGTTATGTAAATAAAATAAAATTGAAAACTTTTCTTCAGTTGAGTTAATTCGATATGTTACAAGTGACCATATTGCCATTTTCAGGCATCTGCATAGCAGTGTGTGCCAGTTGGATGGGATGTACTATGAACAATTCTCTGCAAGACCTAATCAGAAATTGGGCGCTAGGGTCCCAAAGGTGAAGAGTCAATGAAGTAATCTACTCTCCTACCTGGCCCTAAAATATTGTTTCTTAAGCACTTTGCACCTCTGGGGGGAAAAAAGCAAAAATTCAGATCTGTAACTGTAATGTGCCTGAGTGAGATACAAGGCCTCATTTTATAGGCTGCAGATAGTTAAAAGGCAATACTGGTTCTGTAGCAAAGGAAACAAATTCTGTTACCAAATGATATGGCATAAATGTTGATTTACTTACATAAAAATCATTTCAAGGATATGCTTTGTTCAAGACAATGCTAAAGAAATTACTAAGAAAAATGTGTTATGCATTGGATTTTTATAGAAGCAGGTATGTTCTGAATATGGATTGCCTGTTGTATACATTCCCTCCTCTCTGCAAGGTAGGGCAGAGCCTGGGTCAGCAGACATTAAGGGTATTCTGTAAATTAAAAAAAGAAAAGGAGTACTTGTGGCACCTTAGAGACTAACCAATTTATTTGAGCATAAGCTTTCGTGAGCTACAGCTCACTTCATCGGATGCATACTGTGGAAAGTGTAGAAGATCTTTTTATACACATAAAGCATGAAAAAATACCTCATGCTTTGTGTGTAAAAAGATCTTCTACACTTTCCACAGTATGCATCCGATGAAGTGAGCTGTAGCTCACGAAAGCTTATGCTCAAATAAATTGGTTAGTCTCTAAGGTGCCACAAATACTCCTTTTCTTTTTGCGAATACAGACTAACACGGCTGTTACTCTGAAACCTGTAAATTAAAAAAAATTTTCAAGAAGTTATATGTGGTCTGTGATCCGATTTTTATAGAGATCTTCAGCTACTGTAGGGAATGTACCTTCTCAAACAAAGTTATTTGTAAAGTTCACTTTTCTCCTTTAAATCAATGATAGCTTGTCCTTCTTCAAATCCCTCCTTAAAATTTTCCTTTGCTGTGATGCCTACAAAAAAACTTGACCACAGGCAGCTAGTGAGCTGAGATCGCTGTCGATCATGCTGACCAATATTGTGTAATTGTTTCATAGATTCATAGATGCTAAGGTCAGAAGGGACCATTATGATCATCTAGTCTGACCTCCTGCACAACTCAGGCCACAGAATCTCACCCACCCACTCCTGCGAAAAATCTCTCACCTATGTCTGAGCTACTGAAGTCCTCAAATCATGGTTTAAAGACTTCAAGGAGCAGAGAATCCTCCAGCAAGTGACCCGTGCCCCATGCTACAGAGGAAGGCAAAAAAACTCCAGGGCCTCTTCCAATCTGCCCTGGAGGAAAATTCCTTCCCGACCCCAAATATGGCTATAAGCTAAACCCTGAGCATATGGGCAAGATTCACCAGCCAGATACCCGGTAAATAGCAGTGTCCCCCAGCGATCTGTACTTGGCCTTGTACTCCCCTGTCTCTATCTGTTGTCTCTTTTCTTATACTTAAATTGTAAGCTCTTTTGGGCAGGGGGACCATCTCTTTGTTCTATGTTGATATAGGGATGAGGGGAAATGTGTAGAAGGAATTCTGGAAATCTTTGACATGCTCCTGGCCACAACATCAAGATTTCGAGAGCTGAAATTACAGCACAAGGAGTATCTGTGTGTCAAGGCTATGATTCTTCTCAATTCCAGTGAGTACATATTTGCCCTTGAGGTATGTCAAGTTGTGCTGACTATTTAGGGGAAAAAATCTGTGTCTAAAATTGGCAAAAATATCAAAGGACACGTGAACCATTGAAAAAGAATGAAAGAAAAAATAAAGTGCTTTTGTTACTAAAATTTTAATGGCTTTTTGTTTGGTATATTCAGTCAAGTCCTAAGTTTTATTATTATTATTAGACAGATATTTTTGGGTGGCATTCCAGGGTAAAACCTGGTAACAGGAACTCAAAAGTCTGTAAGTTCTCATCAGGGAGTGGAGTTTATGGCCCACAGAAAGGTCAGAGGCTTGTCCTTTTAAAATTGCTGGAGCCTCCTGATCAGTGGGAAATTCTGCTCCTATCCTTCTGAATCAGGGGCATTTGTAATGTGGGTAAATCCCTCTGGGCTGCAGTCTGTGTCCCCTTTGCTCCCTTGATACCCGCAGTTATCTCAGATACTGCCAAAGCAACTTAATTGAAATAAACTATGTGGTGTTTGATTTTATTTTCATTATAATTCATCAGCAGAAATAATTTAAAGCTTTCAGATGATCCGCAAAATGTTTTTGAGAACTACATCCCTGGTTTACATTCTCTTACATAACATGAACCACCGGTGTATTGGCCTTGTTCTTGGCAGACTTTGCTGTAATCATTTCATCCCAGAGTCCATCGTGTAGTGATGTGACCCAAAACAACATCTGTATAAATAAAATATGATATTGTTTATATCTACTATTTTCGGTATGCAGCCTCAGCATAATTCTGAAGGGGAATCCGAGATACTTATGTACAGCTGTTGTCGATCCATAAATAAGTAAAATACCAGTATTTTAACAGAAAACAGAATTTTATCCTTTTATTTATTTACTTTTGTCAACACATTTTTTTAAAAGTTTTGCTCATCTAATCTAAATATGTGATCAAATCCTAATGCTCAGGGAGGACCATATGATAGATTTCAAGCTTGCAAAACAAGCACAGATACTGAGTTACAAAAGCATCTACTTTTACAAGAGCATCTACACTCTTTGGACCTTATTTGAGGGTCTGGCCCTTTGTCTGTGTCTCTGTCTCATTTGCTGAAGAGTCTTTGCTTTTGAATGAGCAGTGTGATAACAGTAAAAGAGAATTTCACATTATTCTAATTTCCAGTACATGGGATAATCTAATAATAATAATTTGTTGTCCAGATTTTCATGTCAAGTCACCTCTCTGCTCTCTGAAGTACTGCAGACAAAAGCTAAAAGGGTGCTTAGACTTAGGCTTATACAAGGATCTGATATATTTTCTTATTGCAATTTGCAGGTATCTAAAACACCATAAGCTTTCAAACAACTACTAAATTGTTTTACTTTTTACTATGGTGCCTTTAATATAGTTCTGTAATCCCTGTTCTTTTATTCCTTTCTGTGGGTAAGAATGGGATCTTTTTGTTAGTGTTCTATCTATTGATATAGAATTTATCTATTGACTTTCCAGTGTGAACTGTAGTTTACAGAAAGCTCTCTTCTAAATCTTCTCCAGTTGCTGACAAAGGCAAAATTATCTGCAGCTGTAGTATAATCTGCAGCAGACCTATGATCGGACATTTACTTACCGGTCTTCTTTCCAAAACCGCATAAATCGGAGGAGGAGTGTAGGCTACATGCCTTGGATGTCCGGAGGGCTCTTGCCTTCTACATTGACAGAACCAAGGCCATTCCATAAGTTGACGCAATTATTCATCACCGTGGCCAACAGGATGAAAGGTTGCCCTGTATCCACTCAAACAATTTCTTCTTGGATCACGGCCTGCATTCTGCTATGACCAAGTAAAGGTGCTGCCGCCTTCGGTGATTGTCACTGCCCACTCTACCAAAGCGCAGGCCTCCTCAGCAGCCTTTCTGGCCCAAGTGCCTATTCAGAACATCTGCAGAGCAGCCACCTGGTCATCTGTCCATACCTTTACGTCCCACTATGTGCTGACCCAGTAGGCCCAGGACAATGCTGCCTTTGGTAGGGCAATGCTGCAAGCTGCTATGCGGTGAACTCCAAGCCCACCTCCATGGATACTACTTGTGAATCACCTAGAATGGAAGCTACATGAGCAAGCACTCAAAGAAGAAAAAACTGTTACCTACCTTTTGTAACTGTGCTCTTCGAGATGTGTTGCTCATGTCCATTCTACTCCTCTGTCGGAGTTGCTGGCAGGAAGGAACTGAGAGGGTGCAGGGCTGGCGGCGCCTGATATACCGTGGTATGGGAGCGCCACTCCAGGGGGTGCCATAGCCAGCCCTATGGATACCGCTAGGGCAGAAATCTCCGACAACTGTGCACGTGGGCGCACGCACACCTAAAATGGAAAGGACGTGAGCAGTGCATCTCAAAGAACAACAGTTACGAAAGGTAGGTAACTGTTTCTTCCGCCCCAGGATGAAGAAGGAGCGGGACTTCCGACTCTAACAGCTCCTAATGGAGGTGGCCCTTCATCCACAACCAGCCTCGGGCTGGCAGGATCTGGCACTGAGCTCCTCCATGCGGAGTGACCCAGCCTCCGTGCGTGAGATGGTGCCAAGGAAGGACTCTGCCTATACTCTTGGCACTGGTGCTCCCCAGCACCGAAACCAGTGGAGGAGGCACAGCACAGATCCCACTCTCCAGTGCCATAGAAGTGGCCCTGAAAATCGGACAGGGAGCGCTCGCCCACACCGAGAGCTGCTGCCTCGGACAGTGCTGCCAGAGTGCATCCTGTGGAAGAGCACCTGGAGCCAATGGCACATGAGTCGGCACCGTTGACTTTGGCCCAGCAAGGAGGGCTGTCAAGTCTGGTGCCGGTGGACTTTCCTGATCAGGAGTGTCAGGTGGAGGACATAGAGTTGCCATCCACGGTAGATACCTTTGAGGCTGTGCGGGACTTAATAGCGACGACAGCTCCCCCGTCCCCAGCCATTCGGGATAAGCCTCTGGTAGTTTAGCCTGGGGCACCGTCTATAGGCAAGCTGGTGATGTTGATGAGAAGATCACTATGATGGTCCCCGACTCCACCTTTGACGCGGCACCAGTCCCCGGCACTGCTCCTGGTCACGGCACCGCTCAGCAGCGTCGTACTCATGACACCGATCCCTGGCACCACTCCACTCGGCAAAGCCGTGACCTTCGCATTCCTGGTCCATGTCATCGGACTTGGAGGTGGAGTCTCATTATTCTTAGCACAACTGGAGCAGGTTGGACCACCGCAGACAGGATGTGCGTGTGATGCCATAGCAGGTGCAGTGGCAGGTGCCTACCCAGTGGCCCTTCTGGATGCTGTAGGCCTATCGCCAAACCCAGGGCACTCATTCTAGGGGCTCCCACTCTGTGGTGTCAGAGCCGTGAGTGTCTCCGGCAGCGGCGAGTCATCCCACCCCTCAAGGCTCCGAGATGACACCGGTGCGGGGTGCAAAGCTGCCTCCAGCTCCTATTCTCACCTCTGGCACTGAACCCGCGGTAGTTGCCTAGGAGCGTGGAGCGGAGTAGGACATCCCGGAGGGCCAGGAGGACCCTGTACCTCTGCTGGATGAGGTGGTAGTGGGGACTTCCTCCTCTGGGCCGCACCTGACTGACAGCCAGGCACACCGGGACCAGCTATACAGGGTGGCATTGCTGGCCTTTTCCATTGAATGCACAAAGCCGTACTGGTAAGTTGAACCAGCTGTTCATGGCAGACCAGATTAAAGGACTCTCGGTCTCGTTGCAGAGGATCTCATCGAGGATCACATCCTGTGTCCGGGCATGCTATGAGTTAGCCAAAGTCCCAGCCCCTGCACTAACGGCACATTCCACAAGAGTGCAGGCCGCCTCAGTGGCATTCCTGCCTCAGGTCCTGATACAGGAGATCTGCAGGATGGCAACATGGTCCTCGGTTCATACTTTCACCTCACATTACGCAATTACCCAGCATGCCAGAGACGATTCAGCATTCGGCAGAGTGGTGCTCCAGTCAGCGATTCCATAACTCCGACCCCACCTCCTGGGTAGGGCTTGGGAGTCACCTAATTGGAATCAAAATGAGCAAGTACTTGAAGAAGAAAACAGTGACTCACCTTCTCGTAACTGTTGTTCTTCAAGATGTGTTGCTCATATCCATTCCAAACCCACCCTTCCCTTCTGTTGGAGTAGCTGACAAGAAGGAACTGAGAAGGCACTGGGTCAGCAGGGTCCTATATTCACTGCCATGGAGGTGCCACTCCAGGGGGCTCCACAGCTGACTGAATGTGTGCTGCTAGGGGAAAAACTTTCCAATGACTGTGCACATGGCACACACACACCTAATTGGAATGGATATGAGCAATACATCTCCAAGAACAACATTTACGAGAAGGTGAGTAACCATTTTTTCTTTTTCTCCAGTCATGTAACCATACAACAGCGTAGTTGTATATTCTTTAGCCAGTTTGCTGCCCTTGGTTTGTGGCTTCAACAAGTGAATTTCTTGATTGCTTCACTTTGTGATAATGGCCTTCTAATAGGAACGTTCTTCACATTTGCAAATTTAAACTATTCTTATGGAGCTTCATTGAGATAATTATTGAATTTTTAAAAAAGCAACATACACCATCAAGGTTTGCCTTTTGCTTACAGCAAACTGCAGCTGTTTAAAAAAAAATAATAATCCACGTGACCAAATCTAATCTTCAACCCCTTCCATTCTCATGCCCCACACATCCAGGCTGTCTTCAAACTTGCTGCTACTATCTCTGTAATATTTTTAAAAGCTAATGTTTTCTTTCTCATCCATGCAGCTAACTCTCTTCCAAGCCCTCTTCATTTCTCATCCTGATTACTGCAGCCTCCTCTCGGGCCTTCTTAAAATCCACATTGGCCCTCTCCAATCCATGCAAAATGCATCTGTTAAGACAATCTTCCTTTGCAGCCTCTGTGACCCCCATCATCTCCCTTTGGGAATCCCTCCATTGCTGTTCCACCATATTAAATTCAAGATTCATGTCATAACCTTCAAGGCCCTTTACAACTCTGCCCTTCCCTAATTATCCAGCTCTGTTTTGTCACATTGGTCTCCTCTGCTCCATCAATAATGCTGGTTTCAACTACTTGCTTGCCTGCTCCTCCCACAGTCTTCCCTGACTAATTTCTTTTGTTTCTGTCCTTAATGCATCTTTTAACATTTCACAGTTTATGCTAGTATTATGACAAATTTCTGACTTGTAAGGAAGTTAGAGCACGTAGAGCCAAGGAGTTGGCTGTACATCATGCACAGTGCCTTCCTCACTCACTTGATAAGCATTAAAGCCCTGATCCAGCAAATTGTTTAAGCCACTTATGTACCATTTTGCTCCTGGCCCCATCCCTATGTAGGAGCTGTTTCAGAGAGGGGAGGGAGCTGTTAGAGCAGCCATGAAAGTGCTTTTACTTAAACAAAGGGTCGGAGTAACCCCTGGGGACATCCAAAATTGGAAAATGCAAAGATAAGTGAAGCTCAGCCAGACCCAAGTATCTGGCCCTGTATCTTTAGAAGATATTAAAAGCCAGTTGTTGTTAATGTAGTTGTAAGATTGCATACTTAAGTATGCAAATGGCATGACAGAATTGATGAGTAAAAAATTTTCTAACATGAAGCATCATAGCATACAATTTTAATAGGACTTGGAATTTATTTTATTTGTTTCTATTGAAAAATAGCATCCAAAGGCAATCCATGCTCATGTTTTTTCTGGTGAGTTGTAATGCTTTTCTGTCTTTTTGTTTAGGTATGTTTCCATTATCAGCTGCTGCAGAAGAACCTGAAAGCAACAGGAAGCTACAGCACTTGCTTAATGCAGTAACTGATGCTTTGGTGTGGGTTATTGCAAAGAGTGGAATCCCATCTCAGCAACAGACAACTCGTTTGGCTAACTTGTTGATGTTACTTTCTCATGTCAGGCATGCAAGGTATATTTAACAGAATGATGTGTCTTTTTCAGGTTTTAATATTTGTTGTTAAAGCAAACAAAGCTCGACCAAGCTCTTGAAATCCCTGTGGAAAAATCCTGATATCATCCTTTTAGGGCATTCATTGTAAGATTATTCTAAATTGACAAGATTAACTAAATAATGTACTCAAATCATTTTGACATGCAGCACATTGCATCCACCTTAAAGTGCATATCTTATGTAACACTTCTGCCACATGGAGCCAGCAGCAACCAGGGCTGGGTTCAATATGTCGGGGTTCCTTTCCATTGATACAACACAGAACTGGCTTGAGCCCCCACCCAGTAACCTGGGAAATTTACACACCACCTCTGGGTGCCTCTGAGAGGCAATGCTTCCCCACTCACAGGCACAGAGTCTGAGTGTAGAAAAGAAACTTTTAATAAAAGGAGGAAAGTACTTCGGCATTAATTTAGGAAAACACCACAAACATGGTTCATAAACATAAACCATGAGTAAAAGACCCACCCCCAAGTAGGCTGGGCAGTGTCCTTTCCCCCTCAGGTTCTTAAGTCCATCAACCCAAAAATCCCTTTCCTGTGCCCAACCCTTCTCTGTACCCCACTCACAGTTGCTGTCCTTGGTCAATGCAGACCCAGAGTTCAGAGGTGCATCTGCATAGTTCACCTCCACCCCCGGGTGGGGTTAAGAAGTACCTTACTTACTCCACTGCTTGGGCACTCGCTCGCCACCCCTCTCTGCGAGCCACCTTCCTGGCCACTCACCGACCGCTCCTGCCAGCCGCCTGCTCACTGGTCTTGCTGCACTTCTCCACCTGCTGGTTGCTTGTGTTGTGCCTCTCCACCGCCACCCTGCTGGCTGCCTGCTCACTGCTCTTGCTGCGCCTCTCCGCCAAACCAGCTACTCTTTCACCAGATGTCAGTTGCCGTCTGCTGCCACCTGCCTCTCTGGTGTAACCTCTGCACATCAGTTTCTTAGTAATTTTCAGCTCTTTGCAGGCTGGGCAGAAACACTGCCCCAGCTCAGTGATTTCATCTTTGTGATTTTTAACTCTTAGCAGGCAGGGCAGAAACACAGTCCTACCACAATTGATTTCAGCTCTGATTGGGCATTTAACATAACAAACAAGCTCCTATGAAGCCTGTTTAGCACTATTCTTTGAACAGTGGGAAGGAACAGGTTAAACCAGTCTAGGGAGGACCCTTGATGAGGGTGTGCAGCCTCCTTGGTGGGATACCTGTCCCTACCTCTCTTACTTTCCTAGGGCTCTGACATTCGAGCCCCTGGTTTAATGAGGTTCTTTCAACTGAGGGTGGCCCCCTCATTTGAGACAGGCTAAGCACAGTCCTGCTTTCCTGTATTCCTACAATAATTACAACATTGGTAACCATATTTCACTACCCCTGCATTTAGTACTAAGGTGATTTGTACCCAACACCAGCCGAAGTTGATCACTTTGACATCACTGTGTCTGTTGAATATGTAAGCAGAGCAAACTGTATTTACATAAACACACCCAAAGTCTCTCACCCTCCCAGTTAGCTGTCAGGGAAGCATTCGTTCAGACCCTGCTTATATCTATAATTCATTATTTTAAATAAATCCTCTACATTTATCCTCCAAATAGTACATCCTTTTCATTTCTTTTTAGCACTTCACTTTTAATTTTTTCCCCTTCTGGCTAAAAGAGCAGTAATGTGTCTCCTTCAAAATCATTCTGAAATTTCCAATGCTGTTTTGTGGATCACCAGGTCAAGTGTGCTTTGGCATTCATGTCAGTCCCTGGCCTAAAGTCTGATTTCTTCTTCTAGTTCTTTTTTCAAAATCGAATATTCTTTTGCTGAGTGGTTTAGAAAGTGTGGGCATGTGTACGTGCTTCCTGTAAGACAACAGATGTCCATCCCATGGGACACTACTATAACTCCCTGAACAGCTCAGCCTTCAGTCAGGACTTTGTGTGGAATACAAAATTCTTCTTTGAGTGCTTTCCTATATGTATGCCACTTCTGATACACATGTGCTCTCTGTATTCAAGATCAGAATCTTTTGACCAGCAGCATCCATTGGGTCACGCCTACGCATCACATGCCCAAGGGCATTAAGGGAAACCAGCTGACTGTCCGTTCTTTTTAGTGATTGTGGCTGCAAGATGGGACTGAAAGAACAGTGTCCCTGGCTCTTGCACTTCTCCACTAGTATTTCTATGTAGTTCTCTTACCATAGTTTAGGGTTAGCTAGGTAGTGTAAGTTAGGTGAATTCTTTTATGTTTTTCTTCAGCTTCATGGTTGATCAGTAATATCCTGGTTTTAAGTATTGTTCATCATGTGAGGCAGCTGTTCCCGTTAATAACTGGTGCATCACCGAGAAATGTGCTTTGTCATTAGTTTTTTAAATGAACAATGAAAGTGAGAGATGCTCAAGTAAAAGCTCTTCCTACTATGTAAGATACTTCCTCTGTCTTCTGTGAGGGCTGTCTTAGACCAGGAAGGCAGGATCCTTTGGGCTCCGAGCAGTCCTCCTTAAAAAGTGCCCCGGCAGCTATTTTCTCTGCCTTAACTTCTAGAGCTCCTGCTTCTTCATCAAAGCATTCTTCTGCTAATGCTGGTATAATTCCCTCCTCCCACCATGAAAGAAGGAGGTCTCAGCACTCTTTCTCCAAAAAGCATAGAAGCAGGTTTCCGTCTGAGGCTATGTCTACACTTTGAGCTAGGCATATGATTCCCTTGCTTATGTACACGTATTCAGGCTAGTTCTCGTCGAGCTAGCGTGAGTATAAATAGTATAGCCACGGTAGCACAGCTAGCAGCTGCGGTGGCATGGCTGAGCTGTGCTGAGTACATGCCCACTGGTTTCAGGTGGATTTGTACTCTGCATGGCTCCGCTGTGCCTTCACTGCCACTCCCCATGCAAGTGAGACTGCTTGGCTGTTGCGCTAGCATGAGTATGTGTACACGAGCAGGGGAATCACACCCGAGCTCATCGTGTAGACGTAGCCTAAATTGCTTGAGAAACGGAAGAAAGACAAGTTTCCTCTTTCTGCTTTAAAAAAGGCAGGTTGCGGTCTGACGAAGGTCCCTTTGGCACCTGTAAGACCCTGGATCTAGATCTTTGTTACCAGCTGAAAACAATTCGCTCTCTGACATAAGTATGGACTCTACGGTACCACCAGAAGTCGTGCTGTACTAGTAAGGGGGCTATCAGCCCTAAAACTGATGCTTCTGGTACCAATTACATTGGTATTGCCACCCCAGTGACAATTATATTTAGTTTTCTCTTGGTACAAATGTGGTTGGCGTTGAGATTTATGATCCCAGGGAATTTTTCAGCCCTGCTTGCATCATCCCTTTTTGCTTTCTTCCTCAGTGAAGACCATTGAGCTGGCACTACAGCTGTGGAAGAAGGATATTCTGGGCACCGGTTAGGAATGTCCTCCCACTCCAACCCTCAGGTTCCTGCAAGGTCTACTTCTCCTCCTGTAAGAAGAGTATTCCTACTCTTCTTCTGCCTCTGATATTCATGGGTGTAGCTCACCTTCCTATTCTCCTAGACTGCGACTCTGTGATCTTTACTATTCTGATACTGTGATAGAAATTTCAGGGCTGGAAGTCATAGCAGGCATAGGGAATATAGGGGACCCTCTAGGGAATACCTGGTACGCATCCCTTGTCCATTTACATATTACTCGTATGGTCCTGCTCCTTGGTCTTACTGAGTACCTTGGAGCATTCGTTAAGCAAGGAGACCTAGCTCCTCTGTCACATAAAGAACCAGGTCTCCCTTGTCTCAGAAGTTGGTAAGGGCACAATAAAAACAGCCCTCTCAACTTAACTTCCAAAAGAGGCACAATCTTAGCAGAAGTCCTCTGATGCAATTCCAACTCATATATCATCTTCATTGCCAGAAGAAGCTGTTGTGCCATCTATTTCTCTCCACCTAATGACTGTAGGGTGTTTCAAGGCCTTCTTTGCAGGATGACAAAAGTGCTGGAGATTCCTGTAGACAGTCCAGGAAAAGGCTCATGAATTATTGGCTATTTTGTCTTTGCATGAAAGACTCAATGCCTATTAGTGAAGGCCTTTTAGAACCTCCCCAGCTACTCTGCCAAAAGCTAGCATCCATACCTATGACTTCAAAAAAGGAAGACAGAAGATACCAAGACCCCTCTGTGGGATTTGAGTGCATGTATTCACATCCTTCACCAGGTTCTCTCAGAGTCACAGCAGCTCAGGAGAGAAGAAGAGGCTTCCAAATCCATCCCTAAAGAAAAGAAGCCAAAGTGGCTAGACCTTTTTGGAAGGAAGAGCTAGTCTGCAACTCAAAATAACTAATTCTTCTTTGAGTCCTTGCTCATGTCGATTCCATTCTAGGTGTGTGCGCACCCATGTGCATGGCTGTTGGACACTTTTGCTTTAGTGGTACCTGTAGGGCTGGCTGTGGCACCCTCTGGAGTGCAGCGCTCATGCTTCGGTATAGCAGGCACCGCCTGCCCTACACCCTGTCAATTCCTTTTTACCACCTGTGGTGGTCAGTCGGAGTGCCTTTCTTACTTAGCAAGAGCTAGTGGTTTCTCCCCCTTGAACTTCGCGCCTGAGGGCCTTTGTACATAGTTTGCATAGAGTAGTGTTAAATAGTTTTTTAGTGTTACTTAGGGTCCCAGTGGGGACTTTGCCCCAGGTGGGGCATGCCCCAGTCTCCTAGGTTTAAGCCCCGCTCAGACTGCAACAGGCCTATGCATGTAAGTGACCCACATAGCAGCTGCCTTAAGTGCTTGGCGGAGTCACACGTTAAGGATCTGTGCCAGATCTGTAAACTTTTGGCCTCGCACCCAAAAGAAGCAGGATATCTGCCTCCGGGCTCTTCTGATGGAGTCCGCCCTCAGCCTGGCTTCTGAGCTGACCAGACAGGTCGCACTGAGCGCCTCGGCCTCCATGCACAGCACACCGCTGGCACCTGGCTCCTCCGGCCCCATTCGCCAGAGCCAAAGAAAAAGGCCAAG